CCCCCACCTTCCATCCGAATAACTTCCCTCACAAGAATACACCTAACTTTTCCTCTCAATTTTCACAAGTTTTTCAATTATTTATCAATATCTTGAAATTTTTTTTTTATTTTTAAAATTTAATTTAATTTATTTTTATTTTTAAAAAATATTTAATGTTATCTTTTATTCAAAAGTGACATTAATAATGTTAATAAAATCCAATCAAAGGATAATTAGATGATCAAATTGAATAATTTAAAATATTCAATTTGATTCTATTTTTTTTATAAATGTTTAATTTAGTCTTCTAATTTTCAAAAAGAATATATAATGATATCCATTCATATTATTTCATTAACATCATGAATGTCAATCATGAATGTCAATTTCAATGTAAGAGTAATATTAAACATTTTTTTAAAAGTTAATGGATTAAATTAAATTAACTTTTTAAAAATAATGAAACTAAATTGAATTCTCAAATTAAATAAGGACTAAAAATATAATTTATTCAATGATTTAAGAAAAGTTATACAGAATGATAGACAAATACAAATGCAAATGCAACCTATAAATATAAATATTATAAATTTTGATATCAATAGTGTAAACATCAAATTTGACAAGAAATGTTCTACTTGAAGATTTATTATTATTTGTTGTTATTTAATTTTTTAGATAAATATAATTTTTACTACAAAAAAAATTACTTGTTATATAGTTATAATAATATATATTAATATATTGTTAAAATGTGTAGGTGTAAAACTATAAATTATAGTGTTAAATATATTTAAAATATATTATTGAATTTTATTCAAAGTTAATACTAAATTTGTATAAATATATATCAAATAAATTTATACCTATGTTTATTACATTTATAATAATATTATTTTAAATATTATTATATTTAACATTTCTTGTAATGATCTAATTGTTTGATTATAAATTATTTGAATTTCGATAACTTTTAACACTATTAATTAAGAAATATACCATATACTTTTTAATTCACATAGAAGAGATTTTATGTTAGTTTCGGTGCCACTTTATGACTCGTCTTGATCTCTACACTTAGTAAAATCACACTACTACTAGTGAACTAAGAGAAATATTAAGTTAGATAACTCATGCATAGAGGTATAGATAAGAATAAGATAACTAAGTTTCTATATACAAAATAGAACACCATAATTTTATAGTTTTTTTAGGATTATAGGATTTAAATTGTTATAATTTATGTTTTTTAACATTTATATATTATTTTCTTTGTCATTCAATTTTGAAATATAATTTAAATTTATATTCTGGATTGCCTGGTTTAGGTTTTATATTTTGGACTGCCTAGTTTAAGTTTTATATTATGGACTATATATGTAGGTTTTGGGTATATCAATAAACAACCAAAATTTAAAAAAAAAAACGCGTCAATTTACGTCAGACTATACCTTGTCTGACGTAAATTTACGTCGGGCCTAGCACAGGCCACGTAAATTTACGTCGGACAAGGTATAGTCCGACGTAAATTGACGCGCCAGTTTTCCCCTTTCAAAGCCCTTTTTTACGTCGGGCTAAAGGTATTTCTAACGTAAATTTACGTCGTCTTTTCTAGGCGACGTAAATTTACGTCTCCCGTATTAACGTCGGCTGCATTTCTGACGTAAAAAACTTCAAATACCCGACGTAAAAAGGGTCTTTTGTACTAGTGAAAAATCTTTTTTTTTTACGCACAATAATGATGAGAAACACATTAAAACAACACCATAAAAGAGATAAAAAAAGATCATATAAATTTATTTAATGTGGTTCAACTCGTTATGCATATGTCTGCAAAGATGTTCATTATCTATCTCAAAATTTATTACATACATCTTGAAAATCCTTCCTTCAAGTTTTGTGGGTGAAACTTGAAAATCCTTCATTCACGGCTAAACGACCATTTTAGAGCACTTTTACAAACTATTTACCAAAATGGGGTTGTTTTGAAACATATTACACCTTTGGGGCTGTTTTTTACGGTGTCGCTATGGGTCACAGCGACACCTATGACACGTGGCAATTTTTTTTTTGTCTAGGGTGGGCTGGAATGAGCCACATCAGTGTCGCTATAGGCTGGGCCAACACAGTTGATGGACTAACAAAAATGATGTAGCCCATAGCGACACTCTCTAAGAAAAAAAAAAGAAAAAAACGAAAATAATAGAAATGTAAAATAAAAATAATAAACTGAGTTATTTATTATATATTTATAAAAATAAAATTAAGTTTTTTAAAAATGTAATTTTAAAATAAATTTTTATGTAATTTTTAAGAGAGGCGCTATGGCC